TTGGGAGGCCACCGCAAATCTCTCACTCTGGGTTTATTTGCTGCGCGCCACCATACATGAGCTGAGACTCTGGGACGGAGGCAGATGTGTCTTATGGTGGGTGGGTGGCTGTGGATGGATGCAACACATGTTTTATTAATTAGTGGAAACTCCATATGGAAAAATCTGTATTTCATGAGGATGTCAAAGGCTTTATGTTCTGTCCGAGCAGAAATATCCGATACCTGAAAACCTTGTGTATAGAAGAACAAAAGAACAAGCACAAAGTGGTGATTAGTAGAGAATCACAGGACTCTGTATGAGAGAAACATTGTAGTTTGTGGTGCTATATCAGCTCATTGCAGATATATGGGTATCCATGAAAGTGGAAGGTGGTGTCCTGAGGTCTTTTTAATAATATCATTCTACTTGGCCAGCTATGTGCATTGTTGCTTTGGAGATTGGTCTCCCAGGATAATCATCATCAAACATTGTGTTTCTGTGGAAACATGTAAGTCAGATATAGAGGGTTGTTGTTGTCAGTGGTCACAGGGCCAACACACTCAGTTGCTCTCGTCTTCTCTGACAGGACACCCTGTTGAGTGTTCACAGTGTTTGTCACAGTTTGGAGCCATGGGTGGACAGTGATGTTTGTTTGAACTTCTTCTTGGTGGAAAAACTGAGCACATGGCTGCCGCTTGGGGGAGATCTCTTACAAAAACAAACACGCATATTGAAATTTATGGCCATATCTTCACAGGTATTATTTCCAACAGTGCACAGAGAGCTCCGAAAACAGAGCAAACTCAAGGAGGTCTGACTGGAATGATGAAACACAAATATTTCACCCTGGATGGAGGATCAGATCTCAGCTTGAATCTAATGTTTATATTAAGATTAGCAATGATCACTGAGTTTAACTTGGCCTATTAATTGAGTCATACAAATAATCTGATACATTTCGTATTTAAAATTTGTTGCTAATTGCTTCATTCAAATAAACAAAATGTTTATTTAAATAACTTGCACAGTTTTTACAACCAATTTGACATAATTTGGCATAAAAACATCGTATTCAATCTTCCAGATGGTTTGAGTCTTTGGCTGTGTCACATTTTCACCAGTTCCACTGCTGCTATGTTTGTTTGGGGAAATGCTTGTTAATCTACAGTGTTTGCCAACCACACGAGACAATTTCTATAGAAAGTGACGCAAGTAAAGAGACTTTAGAGCGTCGCTTGAAACACCATGACCACGCATTTTACATTATTTGCCCAACACCACTCTAAATATAGATCACTTTCACTCAGTTGACTTGCTGTAAAGTGTTGAAGTGCTGTGACGTACATGCTCTTTATGACTGTAGCAGAAATACTATGACAAAGGAATCGTTAGCATTCTTAGTCCTCTCTCTCTCTCTCACTCACTCACTCACTCTCGAGTTGTTGCTCCTTTCTTGGAGCAGAGTGTAACATCTTTCATTTTGCCAGATTTGGCTTCAAATTTATAAAATAGTTACTTTTAGTACAAAAGTAAAAATGTAATTTAATATTCGCTGCTACAAAATATTTGAAACATGCAGGATATGTTTCTCATAATGTTTCCTAATTCATCAGTTTTCCACTAATGACTGCTTCAATCAGTTTATAGTCCACAGCGATACACGTGAATTTAGGGCAATTAAGAAAATTAATAATGTACGATCTCTTAAAATTTCAGTAGAGTAGCAATTTTTGAAAGGATTTTGGTTGTAGAGCCACTCAAAACCGTTCTGTCTATGTCCTGTATGTCGTTTTCACTTGATTCAGGATAAAACATCATTCAAATTTCAATGACATCTTGCACCAAAGCATATATTTTTTCCTCTGACTGACCTTCTGTTGTAAAAGTCGTTAAGGCGCTCGGCTGAAACCACGGAAACCTGTGACCTGGCAGATCCATACATTGTGAATTTTGTTTACAATTCAGCTTACAGGTCCAGTGAACTGCATGCAGCGCTGGCATTTTGGGAATGGGAATGTTAGGTTTCACCTAGGAGTTGGGACAGAAATGCAACCTTAAAGAAGGACTCAAGGGTTACAATTTACAACACCGTTCTTATTTGTTGTTTACTCAGTGAGAATGCTCTGGAGCCAGCGAAGAAAAGAAGGTGGAAGAAAAGACATGGAAAGAGGACCCTGGGGTCAGTGGTCTGTCCCTCCGAGGAGCCTGGTGCCTTGGCCTTTTATACATTTTAACAAGTTGTTGTTCTTAGCTGAGAACAGACAAGCGCATACCAGCTTCATGCTGCAAGCCTGCTATTTTTTTTTTTCATAATGGCTGTAAGCAGTTTACCTAAAGAAACGGCTGAGCCTGCTCATTACAAATGAGATTTTCTGTTTTAAGATGAGTAGAAAAGTGGTTGTTGATACAAGACTGTCTTAGAATGGTGAATCATTTAGTGGCGGGCTGTCAGCCGTCCTCGGCACCAATAGACTTGAGGAACAGCACCATCTTCTGGGGGTGAAAATGAACCTATCCACTCTAAGTGTAGAGCTGAAGGCAGATATATTTTAATTACAGGTCTGAACACAAGTTAACACCTTCAACTTCCTGCTCATTGCAGAGTACCAGCGTTGATTCTTCTTATTTAGTTCTGCTGTTGTGAGCAGCGAGTGCAAAAAACAAACGGGCTTTAGATCTGCAGAGATTTTTCAATTTTTACAGTTTACGGTTGAGAGAGACTCCACATGAATGGTTCAAAGGATGCAGTGCCTCAGTCTGACCACTAGAGGGCAGCATGAAGCAATGTTACCTTCAATGATGCTCTGTTCTCTCTCTCTCTGGCTCAAAAAGAAGTCAGGCTTTAATAGTCTTCAAAACACAAAGAGAGCACAAAGTAGATTAAAGGTTAAACTGATGCACATAATATGTACTTTTAGTCCTTTACAAAAGGTTATACACAGTATGACCTTTAGTTAGACCGTAGCTTCCCCCTTCATTGATTTTGGCTGTAAAGCCTCAGGTGAAGCACTAGTTAATCTGATGGCAATAGAACACCACTAAATACATCATTACTTAAGGATTTAGTCCCATCTAACTGCCTGATAACCTGTTTAGGAGCTCAGAGCAATGCAGGTTCAGGGCTGTGTGCCAGTGAGGCTACAGTTCAATAAGGGCCACATCACCACTGGATAGATTGAAACAATTTAGTAGACCGGACATTACTTAAACAGGAAAATAAATAAAACGTTTTTTTGTAGGAAAGGCTTGATTTCTAACTTCTAAGATTTAAAGGCCAGACTTCCTGTGGTTTAAGATATCATCTCGGTAGGCTGACGATCAGGAAATAATAACAGACACAAGGACATTCAAGTAGTCAGATTCAGTTTGAAGCCAAAATGGAGCTTAATTCAACAGGAAATATAAAAGATAAAATCACTTTGATAATATAAAAAGGATTATTTTGCTTGTGAAAGGAAATACATTAGCAATTACGCCTTCATTAGAGTGCTTCAACTCCACTTTGATGATATTGATCGGATATTATTTAATTGGAATTCCCCGCGACTGCACCACTAAAACGTTACACTTCCAGTGACAATGAGGCCTCAGGTGAGGTGGGACTGCATGGCGAGTAAAGCTTTCAGCCTAAATGGGCAACTGTTTGTTTTGCAGCAGCTGTGTAGCAGCTGCTCTGCCCACACAAATACACACTCGTAAGCCCTTCACTATAAAGTACAATACACACACGCAAACACTTAAGACAAGTCTATCTCTTTACTGTTCATGAACACATCATCTAAAGTCTCTTTTTGTTTGTAGTTGTGTCTCTTTGTTTAATGAGCACGCACACACACACATATACAGAGATAGACGAGATCAACCCGTACACTACAGCTCTGTGAGGACTCAAAAGGGCAATCAGGTGGTCTGAGGCAGAGTAAAGCTTTTATGTCCGCACCATTAGCTCCCTTTTAGAGGCCAGAATGGTTTTCCATCTATTTAACCAAGCCGGTGTTCAATCTCTGGCTTCGACTTAACAAACACAGACTCGCCCTGTCAGCTTGTTGCATCTCACAGGAGCAATGTCGCAGTGACCTGACTCACAGTCTATCTGGTGGGGATGAAACCGTTCAGTTAACCTCTACAGATGTTTACACAAGAATATCAAGCTTACATGACCGGGAACTTGTTTTTCTTCTCAAGATGTTTTTGATTCGTATTTTGTCATTTCCAGTCAGCAAAGTCGTATTGTATAATATATTGTATTATACTGTTAGGTCCCTTTATACAAAGAATACTCCCGCACTGCTGATGACTCATCAATCTCGAAGTACTTTCAGCATAAATGTGTATAATGAGTCATTGCATGAAAAGTTTAGTTTTGATTAATTTTGTTGTGGAAATTTATATGGTTCTTTTAGTTATAACTTGTATCGCTTAAACCTGCATATACCACCCTAACCCTCTACCCACGCAACGGCTGGGAACCTGGCCTTGTTCTTCTTCGGACAACATCTGCGAGGGTTGCAGGGGGGGAGGAGGGGGGGTTGAAGGGAGAGGAGACGAGATAACGTGCATATACACTCTGTTTTGTCTGTTTATCTGGGTTAGACCTCCGAACCATCCGTGGGGACTGAGCTCTATCCATTCAGCTGAATTTTGATTGAAATGTCTGTTCATTAAATATGTTTTTAATACTTTAAGAAGTTCCATCGATTATTTCTCACAGAGGTTAAGATTTTTTTCCACCACAAATTTAATTCTTCTTCTTCTGTTACAGCATTTCTGCCGTATGATAATATAACAGCTTTATGTATATTTCTATTATATCTTGAGATTCGCTGATGTCGGCCGATATTGACTGGATCGAGTATCGGTGACAATGAGGCTGATCTATTCAATTATATGCTGTATATATTACATTATAGATCTAATGTAAGTTTCTATTTTGGCTGATGCAGTTTAAGAGTTGAATTTTTTTGTATTTAAAAGCGCCATTACAATATAATCTCAAAAAAGGGAACAGAAAATCTGAATCAATATGCTCATCACTTTATTTCTTCTGCAATGCATTTATATTAAAATTACAACATCATAATATACTTCATTTAGCCTACTTTGACAGGAAAACATGCAGATGGCTGAAAGTCAGCAACTGCCAACAAACACGAGCACCAAACTAAAAGAAAAACCCTCTATATTACAATGGAAAACATTGTTTACTTACTAAAAAAATTGATTCATATACCACAACTCTTAAGCGCAGTCATTTTAGCCAAAAAGACATTCACATCTCTTTTTTTTTCTACAAACATGCATTTTCAAGCCTATAATTTATTTTTCATCACACAGTATCAAATTGTGTTTTTATAAGTGTCAGGATCAAATGACTCTTTATGAATATTGACCTTAAAAAAAGCCAGTAATTAGACTGATATGGATCAAAACACAATGTTCCCTCACTGTTGATTTTACAACGGATACAGAGTCAGTTTGTCATGATACAATCTCATAACATTACAGCTCTCTTAACTATGTTTAGGTTTGACTCCCAGACACAGAGACAGCTCATTTCTCTGAATCTTTCCGTCCTTGTTGACGTCACAGTGACGCAGCAGAATGCCTTTCAACTTGTCCAGCTCGGGGCTCGTGAGATTGGGCTGGAGACGACCGAAGAGAGAGGAAGAGGGGAAAGGCATTATACTTACTGTATATCTAGTAATCAACACTATGCCAGCGTTTAGACATCTATTAGCATCTGTTCAATCTCTCTCTTTGAGTTGACAGTTACACTTGTTAGCTCAAAATGAGTTCCTCTTAAAAAGTACAGAATACAATTACATTAATTCCGTTTGATCATCAAATCAGGTTTAGCGTCACATTGGGTGATCGGTAGGGTTGTAGGAAAATAATCCATTTACTTGCGCATCACAACTTTAGATTTTAAAATGTCTGGATTGATAAAAATTCCTTAATCAATAACAAATTTATCGCTTTGTCCAGTTTTCAAAAACATAGGCATATACAAAATACATTTATGGAAATTCGATTATATTTGCCACAAGTATAAAACATGTTGTCTGTATGCATAATACATTTAAAAGAAAATGTCATTAAATTCTCAGGGAAATGTCTATTCTTTGATTTTTGGGTTGCTCGAAAACATAACATTTCTGACGATAATTGATATTATTGACTTCAGGACATCTCTGACTATATACATGCTGAAAGTGTATGATTACATTTCTTTTAAATCACAATACTTTTCGAATCGACACCCAAGTATTGTGATGGTATGGAATTGGTAGATCAGCATAACGGCGCAGCAAATCTTAAAGCACATCTATTTCACAATGTTTCAGTCGCAAATATTTGGAGTTTACGTAGTTAGAGAGAAAGTTGTAGGGCTGCATCTAAGAATTATTTTGCTTATCATTTTCTTGATTCACATACATTACAACAATTGTACTTCTTGTAAACAACACTCTAATATCAGCATATCAGACAGCACATTCACAAAAAAACAGCATTATAGTGTCATGTCCTACCCTGACCAGCCCCATCATGTCTTTGACAAAGCCGTCCAACTCGGGACCCTCCAGCGCTCCGGTCTTACTCTGAACAGGAAAGAAAGAGGCAGAAAAAGAAAGAGGCAGAAAAAACAAACAGAAAGGAGGAGTGTGGATTACTTCATCTAATTCACATCCCACTCACATTACTCAGTCATCATTAGCCTTCCTTTTCTGGGCGTATTCCTTTGGTTCACTTTCCAGCATGCAAGCTATAGTAAGCTCCCTGGAGTGTTTGCCTGTGAACCATACATCTGCTCACATTAAATGTATTTGTAGTTTCCACAAACTGCAGTGGAAAACAAATTCTTCTGACTTTCTCACTGCAGTTCTACAAACACTTTTGCTAGATTGCAGTTTCAAGTAGGGCGAAATGAGACATTAGCCATCTTGCTATAAGACCGAAGCGCTTTAAAAGCTAATATCTGTAACTTTCTGCACATTTACCCTCTTCAGGATCTGGAGATATATTGTGTGAAAGACTGCTGTTAACATAAAAGAGCAATGGAACCAGCCAAGGTGAAACAAGAGTGACATTAAAGCAAGTACATGTAGAAGAAAAAAAGGTTTCACACACACCATTAGGCCTAGTACATGCCGTACTTGACAAAGACAATCTAGGCAGGGTCATGAAAATGATTTGACAGAATAGGAGAAGCTTGTCAGTGACTCCTGATGGAGGTTATTGTGTCCTATCTGGAGCTGTACTGTGAATGAGTCAGAGTTAACTCATCAGCCCAGAGAGTGACTTGACAACCTAATGGGTGCTGTATTTCATTATGTTTCATTATAGAAGTAATGGAGCTAATTGGATTGAACGTTGCCGTCCTCTTCTGAGCACCCACACGCATGCAAATTTTAGAGTGTTAATTTGGGATGGAACTGCTTAGTGGAGGTGATGCCTGCCTTGACTGGACCGCTACCATCACAATAATCATAATGTACTTCCCTTGTGCTATGGAGCAGTACTGTCCTTTCATAAGAGTGCCATCTGTAAGACATTTAGCTGTTGGGCTGCTTTGCCCACGGGTGCGTCTTGAAGGAAGAAGTGGAGAGCGATTGTTTACCGTCCTCCTCAATATAGAATTTCCTTTAGGCCAGCTGAGGATTTAAACCCTCAACCTTTAGGCCAGAAGCCTGGTGTATTATTTGTCCACATTCTCGCATAGTTTCCTTCAGGACATGCTCGTATGTAATACAAGTCATCACCTGTGTCCCACACGCCGTGGTATTGTACTTACAACATCGTAATGGTCAAAGATCTTCTCAAAGTCTTTCTTTCTCTCCTCTTTACTGCAGGCCTTGGGGGGAAAAAAAGAGTTATTATAAACCAAGACAATATGGAGAGAAATGAGATAAAAATAACTTGTTAAACTGTGTGTTGTTGTGTTTTCATCTGTCAAATATTATAGAACAAGATAAAGATTACACTTACATCCATTTCGAACTGGAGCAGGAAATTCTCCTGTAAAGCCAAGATCCTAATTGAGGAAGAAATACATGTTTTACGAGCAGTCGAGTTATGAAAGAGATTAATGTTCTTAAAAAAAATATCGGTTGGTGCATTTTGTGTTTTTTTATTTTTATTTCTTTTGCTCAATGACCTAGCTAGATTATCCAGATGCATGCTGCTATGTCTCTCCACCAACTCCCATTACAACACACAAGGTCGGACATAATCTATCAAGCATTTTAGCATTAAAATGTCTTATCCATTTGAACTTTTTTCTTAAAATGCAAATGAGCTAAACAAAGCAGTAATTTTGGAGATGTTAGGAAAATGTGATCAAATCTCTCCTTCATACCTATACAACCATCTAACAGGTGTGTAATGCAATTCAGAATAGAGACAATCACAGACAGCTTAGCATTGCAGGGACCTTTACGATTACATCAGTCATTTAGCAGATGCTTTTATCCAAAGCGACTTACAATAACTAGTCACCAGAAGTCATACAGTAAGTGCATCTCCTTTTTTAAACAAGCATCTAAGAGCATAAACCAGAGCAAAAGTACAGTGCAGAAACAAACTAATAGGAAATTTAGAAATAGATAATAGATACCTGGCCAAGTCGTTCAAATCCAAACAGCCATCCTTGTTTTTGTCAAAGATTTTCATCTGCAAAAAAAGAGGAAGTACTGAGGAACACAAAAAGAACTTCAGCGACTGAATTTCTGTATCGCTGGTTCTTTCTTAACACCACTTGTGACTCTAGAGGCGACTCATCATTCGATCTGACACTGAGCGTGAACCAATCTCTTCCAAATTGAAACTTAAAGAATATTAGGAATAGGCTTTCTGATACTCTGGGTTTCTAGATAGCTAACTCTGGGAGACAGGTAAATAAATAATGCAAGCTGCCTTCTGTGTCACTGTCTTTTGACATCTGAAGCAGCACATAAAATCCCCTGAGCCATATTTTAAATTTAGCAGAATACCTGAGTGTAACCACTCTTATACAGCTTTTATTTGTGAAAATAAACACATCAAGAATAATGTTTTGAGTACAGGTGTTGCATATATTATTTCCATTTCAATAAATGTACAGTAAGTCACTGACAATTGCAGAAATTCACTGTTAAAACCCCGCAGCTCTACACACAGCTACACAGCCAATACAGTAAATGCAACAGAGCCTCCTGCCCGCAGTCGGCCACTATAGCGTGACCAACTGCACACTGAGTAAGGAAAGGAAAGGGTTTAGCGTAAACGTATCTGTCAACAGCAAACGGTTGCAAATCAGATCACCATAACACCTTAGTTAAAAGGCTACGTCTAACTGTTTTAAAGCCAAACAACGTAGAGCGAGACTAGCTGTGGAATGTCAGTTTGTGTGCATGAGAGTGAATTGTATTACTACCATTGTGTCTGTGTACTCCTCCAGCTTATCAGATGACACTTCCTTGTCATGCTTTTGAAACAGATCCTTCAGGAAAGCCTAAGAACAAAAGTTTATCACATGATTAGACACTTAAAGGGTCAAATGCAATGGGTGATTGACTATTACGCACACACACAATACTTCTTTATTGTGTAGTGAGGGAGAGGATAAACATCTCAGTGTGTGTCAGAACAGGAAATAGTGGCTGAGGGTTCTCTGCCAATGCCACCGCTTAAGGTTTTTCCCTGAACAGAAAAGGAGAGGTGTAATTGGTCTTCTGTTGTGCGTTTGTGTCTGTACAATCTTACTTTGAGCTCCAGAGCTGATATGTAGCCGCTGCTGTCAACATCGTACTTCCTCCAGATCTACAGGGGGAGGAAAGGGCAAATGTTTACATGCAAGTGCACGGGTGAATTTGAACTAGTTGGAATTAATGCAATACCATTAAAATCATCGTGATCATAGCTAGTGGTGATATTCTGTCGTGTTTTTATAATGCAGCGTTCACAATGAGAACTATAATTCACCGTTACATATTACACTCTGTTAGACACAAATCAGATGGATATAATCCAGATGGTTAAAAGCATCTTGTAATTATGATGTTATCAAAGTTAACAAGAAGCATCGAGTGTCATCACCACTACATTAAAAGTCAAACTCTGCACTGGTTCCAGTCAGGTTAGAATTCATACTCTGGAGGTTGTTGGGAGACTTCCTCATACTTTGCATGTGCTGCAACTCCAAGTTACTGATGCATTCTCCTCCACTCTTTGCTGGTGGATCTAGCTTTACTCGTTATACAGAAAAACGTGTTGTCGTGTTGCATCTTACCCTCAATTATAATATTCTTAGAATTTATCCATCGATACATTTCCTAGTTGCCGTTATAGGCTCAGAATCAAAGAACCAATTAAAACTTTTGCATTTTCAAGCTTAAAAATGCAGTACTTGTGTGAGACATATTTTTTAGTCCCAATCATACAGTTTATGGATCATGTCTATGCACACAAGAGTGTAATTAGTCCTGTAAAGTTATTAAACATGAAACAATGGTCCCCAGTCAAACCATGAATGTCACAGTCACTTCATGTACGTGTTCGTCCACTGGCCCATCGGGATACCTTTCTAGTTTTTGTGGCTTGATTCATTGACACATTGGGATTGATACATTCTTTTGGGGATTTGGCTCGTCTTGTCACATCTCAAAATGGTGTTTGGCATACTTTGTGACCTTACCTTCATGAAGTCAACACTGTTGTCCAGAGGAGCTTCTCTGTGGAAAACTAACAGGAAGTTCTCATCTTCAGGGAGGATCATGTTGGCCAACTGGAAAACAGGGTAGAGGTCAGAGGTCAGAGCAGTGATTGGATAATGTCATTCTATGAGGCGTTTCATCTTAAGTTGTGTCCATTTTATTAAGTTTACAGCAGTCATACATACAAACTTCAAAACAGTTCAGTCTAATCCGGTCTGTAATTGTGATCAGATCCGGGGTCAGTTTTTATTACATCTATTTTCCACAGAAGAAATGGATCCAATGAAACTGTTGACAGTGAGGCTTGTGGATTATCCCGATAAGCCGGGACACTGTATATTGACATTTCCAATCACCTTTATTGTATTAACGGGACAGCAGATGTCTCAGCCGCAGATATGTGAAAATATCTGCATGGGTACATGCAACGACAGGACACGTGAGAATGTCAACATGTTTTATCATCATTTAGGTGACCAGCCCTACACAAGTTTCTCCTGGCACCTCTCCAGTTCATGTTGCTCCTCTCTTGTGTGAACTTCTTTAATAGTATCAGCCCTCCATTAGCAGATTAAACTGGCCCCCATCATCAATCTAATTATAGTACAAGATGATACTGCGGCCATTGGGTTCACAAAGAACCACTCAGTCAGATAATCGCAGTGCACCAACAGTGATGCCAACTCCAGAAGAGCAGTTCAGGAAAGAAATGCAGATTATGACACGTTTAATGGCGTAGTAAAGGACAGACTCAAATGTAGGGAGACACGGGGAAACAGAGGGTTGAATATAGGTGGTTTTAATGGTAAAGAAAATGTTCAACACAAAATTCGCAGAACAGAGGATTCAAAAAATGGGTAACAAAATTGTCCAATAAACAGGGAACACGGTAGGGAAGAGCAGAGATGACTCAGGGAACATACCAGGGTTGATCAGCAGCACAAGTAACACCACAGACCAGGATACGCCACAGCAAACCGACAATGAGGGACACACAGGGTTTAAATACACTGGGAAGGTGCAGGTGATGAGACACAGCAGGGTTCAATCAAGGGCGGGGCAGACGATCACAGAGGCGAGAAACAGACAAGGACAGGAAGTGAAGTGAACACAGGACACAAGAGGCAGGGAAAGTCAAAATAAAACGGAAGAAACAACTAAACAAAACCGTGACAGAATAACACACTTTGAAAAAAAGTTGTGCCATTGTTGAATGTTTTTAGACATGTCTCAGCTAAAGCAGTAATATGAAATAAGGTCAAAGTCATTATATAATTATCTGTTGATCGAAGGTTGAAGTTGAAGTCCTCATGAATAAAGAACAGTTGGCAGTTGCTGGCAATAAATAATATATCTGTATATTGTTGAATAAATCTATTCAACAATATGCAAGTGCACTTTGTAAACACAACGGTATACACAAAGTAGCCTATATATGGTACCTACTGTACAGTACTGCAGTGTTGCCTTAATAATGTAGGAAGACTGTCTGCCAGCAGAATGTTACTGTTCAGACTGTAAATCCATGGATCGCAGTCAAATGCTGGACAGGTTGAAACCCTCATTTCATCAAGCGTCCATCTACTGAAGTGCAATTGAGTCAATTGCACTTCATAACTCTGCCAGATTGTAAAAAAGGCTTTTAAATATCGCGTCCACGCAATTAAGTATATATGTCACAATAAATGCACGGTATGCTGCACATTTGCTTACCCTGCACTAACAGTGGGAAGGGAGTAGGTTACTGTTTATAGATTTAAAGAGATATCGTCATATTTTTCTCGTCTGATAGTAAGTCAACACTGTGTCTTAACAGATACTGAACTAGAGGAGCAACAGCATTTCCTGCAGTCATCACACAGGAAACTATCGCTTGTTATATTCTTACTAACTTCCTTCTTCCTTCTATAGTATCATAGAGCAGAGGCGACAGTAGAAGGGGAAATAGCATTACAAATCATTTAGAAGTCCAAAACTGGTCAGTAGAGACACATGAGCCTATATTCTTATTGTTGGCTGTAGGGATGCAGCCACCAATCTGCTGCGCTGGATCAGTACCTGGTCTGATGCTGACTTCATCAACTGGATCGGGTATTGACCAGATATAACTAATCCATTAAAATACAGCACTGTAGAATATATATTGTAGGTACAGTTCCTTTGTCGATGTCATTTAGAATGACAGTGTTTCTGCTATCAGCTACATTCATTAAGTCACATAACAACATATGTAAATGTCCCAATGAGTTCCAAACAGTAAGATACACACAGAAAAAAAATACACAAATCGGGAGAGAAAGCATCTGGTGGGTGCATCCCTGGTTGGCAGGGCGTGTTGCTACAAAGAGGTTTGACCACACTGCTCCTGCATCAGCCACCATAAATCAGTGTAAGTGGAAGGCATGTATTGATTTTGTTTTCAGCTTTTTGAGTAAAAGCCAAAACATCTGGGGTCTTTGGGTGCAATGCATTAGGTAATTGGCCTAAGTTTCTTTTTCACAACTAATGCTAAAATGCTCCGATGAAGTATGCTGCTGCTGTGCCAAGAGCTGCACCAATTACTCAGAGTGGAGGCTGAGAAAGCAATGTCATCAAAATATGGCTGTACATTTCTCGGAAACAGCCGCAGCCTGTTGAATTGTCAGTCAAATTTTTATTTAATAAAAGAGTCCTTTGAGAATCTACTTTAATTAACTACTTCTACTCTCTCCGAAGGCTGTTTCTTCATTAAAGGATGGCTAAGCATGGCCCTCAGCAGGCCTGGAAATGAGTTTTCATTCTTCTCGAATACAGCACAAGTTGCACGCTGTTATTCAACATCAAAATTAAAAGATAAAGAGGAGATGCAGCGGAAGCAGAGGGAGGGGGAGTGGAGAAAGCGGTGAGTAGAATCAATAAGTATGTGAGAGAGAGAGAGAGAGAGAGAGAGAGAGAGAGAGAGAGAGAGAGAG